CACCCCCCCTTTATAGTGGTTGGAATAGAAGTTTCCTGAGCAAATCCGTTTTCCAGCAACTGGGCATGCAGTTTGTTTGGTGCTACTGACTGCAATCTCCGCAACTCGAGCCCCCCATCCTCCCGCGCCTCCCCTGCCCACCCCGCTGCCCATCCTGTCTAGGGCTTTGCTGCCCTCTGCACTGGCTTGCTGCGTTTTCCCCACTGCCCGCAGGCTGGCCAGCAGAAAGCTGCCGCCTTGCTGGTCTATGGTGTCAGAAGACAGTCCAGCCGAGCAGTCGGGAATGAGAGGGAAGTCCCAGGGACAGGAAGCGCATCCAGAGAGTGCGCCCAATCCCAACGGAGTCTCAGCTGAAAAGGCAACCGACTGAAATCCTAAAACACGAACAGGGGCATCAGCTTCTGGACAACTCCGAAGGAGACAAAGTTCACAGTTGGAGTCCCGGAAAGTTGCCTGACGACTGGAGTACACAGCGAACAATCCTTACAGGACAACCGAATCCAGAACCGATCCTGTGTTCTCTGTAATGTGAGCGGCAGTCTTAGGGCGGCTAAGCCTGGGAATTGACCGGACGGCAACAGCTTAGTCTTTAAGGAAGTCCATCATGAGGGCCCCCTTCCCTGGATGCTCCGCTGGGTTCTGTCCATCAGCCTTCGGTCAGCGGCCAGCGTGGTAACCACCACATCACCAGTTCATGGTGCGTTTAAAACACAAGGGACTTCAGAAAGCTTGTGAGGAAATGCGATTAGCCTTTTAATTACGTTTTTTTGACAAGCTTTTTGAAGAACTCTGTATATGATGCAGTAAAATTCACACTTGCCTTTTCCCGATTTGTTTGATAATAGTGTTCCGGGTTGGGGGTGGGGGTGTTGGTGGACGAGCAACTTTGGAAGATAAAAACCCCTCACTTTAGCAACCCAGGAAAAAGGCTAAGCAGACCTAGTATATAAAAACCTAGCATGCTTGGAAAATTAATGCTGAATTTTAAACACGTGGCAAAGAATACAACCACCTGAAAAGGTGATTAAAGTTTTATGCTTATTTGCTAACATAAAGCTGGTACTCAAGTTAGGGACTAAAATGTTATAATAAATTAGCGCCAACCTGATACTTGTCATGTCACTGGCTCTTAATTTAATCTTACCTAAAGATACATATTTTGATGTATTAAAATAAAATGTATTAAAATTAAATCTGGACACATTTTCTCTCAATTATTTTGCTAATCCTGTACTTTCTAGTAACAATAAAGTCTAAGAAAGGTAAAGGGATTTTGTGTATGTAATTTTCTCTAATAATACTTTTAATTTAAATGAAAGCATACATATTAGTCTCAACCCCAATTATTATGTATATGTATATGTATATATATCCTTATTCAGATGAATCAACCAGGAATTTTATATGCCAATGAGTTTTTACCTATTTATAATTCATCTATTGAAAAAATAATGTAGTTGTTGGTTTTTCACTAGTATATTTATTGGACTGAAATTAGGTTTTAAAATCTATCATCAGGATAATGTGCTAATTTAATTCACACATACCCAAAAAATGGTTCCAGAAAGCTTATATACAGTGATGAACCAGAAAACAAAAATAAATATAATTTTTACAGTAGATTCTCATAGAATACCCATAACTGATGCACTCATAATAATATAATTATGAATTTCATGATTAAAATCAAGGGAAACCTTAGGTTAACTTGGACCTGGTATGCTAACAAAAGAATAAGTAATTCTCTAAAGAATTAATTAGTGTTAAGTCACTCTGGATTATTTTTCCTAATGCTTATTTACACATACCTTGAGGAGATATAATCATGTATCTAGGGACCAAAGAAAAGGTTAATATATTTGTTGAACTGAACATTGTACTGATTTGCTACCCATTAAAATACTGGTCACCAGATGCCTAGCTACTGCTACCAATTGCTTTGAAAAGGATCACATTAGAAGTCCTGGATAGAGGGGAGAGGCATGGCAGCACTGCCGGTAAATGCTGGACTGCGAGCTCAGCAACTGCTAGCCCTGTCAGTGGAGGTCTGCAGGGGACAGAGGACGCTTCGAAACCCCTCTCTAGGGCCACTGCGACAAAGAATCTACCTCAGATGTTCTAATGTGACCCCTTTCAAAGCAGTTAACCTGTCTTTGCTCCCTAAATGACATTTATTTTAGAATAGTAAGCAGATGACTTAACTTTAATAAATTCAGAAAGTAAAAAGTTGAGCATTTAGTCATATAAGGCTTTAATGCTATTGA